TTTTTAATTTTTCAGCACTGGTAATGGAACCCAAGACCTTGTGCACACTAGGTAAGCACTCACCACTGAGCTACATACACCCTGGGCCATACACTGCCACCTATATAGTTTCTACCCAATAAAATGATTACACACATCCATATGATCCCAGCCTGGCCAATCAGGATGTTCCATTACTTGGCCACAGTAATTGGTTCAATAAGTGCACGTGACCCAGTTGGGCCAATGAAAACTTTCCTTGGGACTCTTGCTTTTGGATGAGGTGCTGAGCCTCTGTTAGAGTTAATAAGCAGAAGAGGACCTGAAATTTGCAGCTGGGATATCATCTTTGTCCTTATAAAGGGGAAACCCACTGAAGGAGAACAGTAAGGATGGACAGCAGAGCTGAAGCATGAAGAGGTGGGCAAATCCTTGGGAATTTGAGGGTCCGTAACCAAGCCTTAAACCACCGGGACACACTCAAAAACAATTCTGACCTGCCTGAACAGTTGGCAGTGTTAACAGCCACATTTTGGTCATCATGAGTGGATGGTGGGAACTACTGACATCGAGGAGGCATACAGCCGGCACACAGATTTACAATCCAACCTTGGGGAGGCTGTGGCAGGAGGCTCACAATTTGGGAGTCTAGTTGGGACCATTTTACAAGTTCTAGAGACTTCAGTCAAAAGCACAGGGCTAGGGATTTAGTTCAGTAGTGCTGCCACTGCCTCACAAGCACAAGGTCCCAAGGTAGATCTCTGGTACCAAAAGAAAAAAGGGAAAAAAGAACCCCAAAACAAACAAAAGGAAATAGAGGCTGGGGACATTGCTCCACATCCGGCAGCGCCTGGGACACTGACTTCAGGGAACAGTTAGCCTCAAATGTCCACAGTGCTCATTCAGGAAGCTGAGGCAGGAGGATCGCTGAGATTTTTAAGGCCAGCCTGGGCAACAAAGCTCAAGGATAGCCTGAGCTACAGAGCAAGACACTGTCTGAAAAAAAGGGGGTGGGGTGGGGATTTAGCTCAGTAAGCACCGAACCTGCTTCCCAAGCACAAGGTCCTGAGTTTGATCCCCCGTAACAACAACCAAAAAAGTCCACAGTGGAATTCACAGTGCCCAGTTTGATCCATTCCAGAGCTTTTCAGATCCAAGAGAAAAAAAAAAGTTTCAGTTTCTGTCACTTGCAACCAAAACAGTCTAACCAATATAGGGAACAGGCACTGGGGAGTCTGGGGCAGAAAGATCACTGTGAATCTGAAGCCAACCTGAACTACATAGTCTCAGAAAAACAAAAATACAGGAGAGGAGACACCGATGGGGTCCTTTAGCAATATGGAAGCTGCAGATGTCTGAAGTGGAGCCATGCCAGCGTGGGATAGCATGGCTCAGAACTGAGAGGTTTTTTGTTTTTGTTTTTGATTTTGTGCTGGGGAATCAAACTCGGGCTCTTGAGCTTGTGAGGCAGGCAGTGGAACCACTGAGCGAAAGCCCCGGCCCCCTGAGAGTTTTATTTATTTATTTACTTATTTTTTGTGGTGCTGGGGATGGAACCAAGAGTCTTGCTCATGCTAGATAAGTGCTCATCTCTGAGCTACAGCTTGGGCCCTTGGTGTGTATTTATTTTTACAGCCCTGAGGACTGAACCCAAGGCTATCACACTGAGCTACTTCCCAGTCCTTTAGAAAAATTGTAAAATTTTGAGACAGGGTTTTAATAATTTTCTCGGAATGATCTTGAAGTTTTGATCCTCCTGCCTCCACCTCCAGTGGGATTACAGACATGTGGTGTTGTGCCTGGCTAAATTAATCTTTTTGTTTTTTTTTTTTTTTTTTAAACAGGGTCTCACTGTGTATTTGATACTGATCTGGAACTCACTATGTAGCCCAGGCTGGTCTCAAACTCACGGCGATCCTCCTGCCTCAGCCTCTGAGTACTGGGATCTCAGGTGTGCGCCACCACGCCCAGCTTAAATTAATAATTTTATCTTTTTTTTGAGACAGGGTTTTGAACTCATGGTGATTGTCCTGCCTCAGCCTCCCAAGTGCTGGGATTACAGATGGGTGTCACTACATCTGGCAATTATCCTCATTTCACAGATGGGCATGGAGTCACACATCTTGGATGGAAGGCCTGAGATTTGAACTCTGGAAATCCTAACTCCCATGTTTCTAGGCTCTGCTCTCCTCTGCTAACCTCTCCTGCAGCAGCAAGAACAGGCGATGAACAGCAGGGGTCGGAGCCTCAAAGACGTGGCCTGGGGTAGTCCAGTTCTTCCCAAAGGCCGTGGGGTCCTAAGGGTTCTGCAAATGCCTCTCTCCAACTATCTGTCCTAGAATGAGTCACCTGGGACCAGCCCAGCCTCTGGAATCTCCCTGGGGCTGGGAGGTGCCCATCCTGGGTGCCCATCCAGAAAGTCCCAGGGCGGTGACCTCATTACTTGGGGTGGCTCTCACCTGCTTCCTGGGCCCTTCCTTATACTTTTTTTTTTTTTTTTTGAGATGAGGTCTCCCTAAGTCTCTAAATTGCCCAGACTGGACTGGAACTTGGGATACTTCTGCCTCATCCTCCTGGAGTCCTAGGATGACAGGTGTGCACCACCACACTGGGCTTTCTGCTCCAAACCCAGTGCAGATCGGAACCTGAGCTGCTCTGGTGGCTGCCTTTTGGGGGCCAGGAACATCCTTAGGGCACTGTGATCCCTGCCCGTGCGACCCGACCTGCTGTGCCTTTCCTGTGCTCTGCCCTGCCCTTCCTTTCCCATTGCTTTGCCCCCGCCCAGGCTGCACTGCCTCAGTTCACTGAAGCCTCCCTGCTGCCCTCCGGACCAAACCACTCGCACAGGTGTTCAGGGCCCTTCCTCCTGTCACCCCTGACCTGGGGTTGGGTGCAGAGTAGGAGGAAAGGGAGCATCGTGAGTGCCCTTGGCCCTTGCCTACGTGTCCTCAGCTCCAGCCCGGTTCATTCTCACCTCGTGGGAGACCCTCCAAGTTTACCTCCCTTCTCCAACTTAGGAGCAACAGCTCAGCCTCCTCTGGTTCAGTTTTTGTCCTCAGATGAACCGGACCCCAAATGCCACCTCTGTGTCCTACCCCAACTGGCACAGGATGACAGACAGATGGCCGCTAGTTCCACCCTGACTGCACCCCCCACTCCGTTGCTCCGTAACATTTCATGGCTCCTGACTGACCAGGGTGTGAAGACCTGGACCAGCCTCCCCAGGACCCTTTGGTACCACTGTCCCTTTTCCCAGTCCCCAGACCTGACACCCTCACGAGCCCTGCGCACACCCCTGGCTGTCTCCTTGACCTACAGGGGCCTTTGCCTGTGCCCAGAGCAGAGGCGGAAGGCCCAGCCCTGCAGACTCAAACCCGTTGTGCCGGTTTGCAGCTCCCTGACGTTGTCGTAATCCTGGCACCGACACAACCTTGAGCCTAGAGTCTGCGGGATCGAGGAGGGAGCCACGGGCAAACACAGCACTGGGGCCAATTCGCCCAAGGACCTGGGAGCTAAACAGGTGGGTCTAGGCAGGGAGAGTGTGGGGCTGCACAGCGGAGGGGCGCTTGAGGAGGAAAGTGGGAGAAAGATGGAGAGAGACAGAGACTGGGAGACGTGAGAAACAAAGGCACTATGAAATCAGGTGTTGTGGTGCACACCTGTCATCCCAGCCCTCAGGAAGCTGAGGCAGGAGGATCACTGCGAGTTCAGTGCCAGCCTGGGCTACATAGTGAGTTTACAGACAGTCCAAACTACACAGTGAGACCCTGTCTCAGAAACAAAAACAAAAACAAGCCAGGCGTGGTGGCACACACCTGTGATCCCAGCACTTGGGAGGCAGAGGCAGGAGGGTCGATGTGAGTTCAGGGCTAGCTTGAACTACAAAGCAAGACCCTGTCTCAAAAAAAAAAAAAAAAAAAAAAAAAAAACAAAAAAAAAAAACCAAGAAGAAAGGAAAGAGACACAGAGACACAGAGAGACAGCCAGAGATGTAGAAACAGAACAGAAATAGAGCCGGAAGCAGAAAGATAGAGAGATGCTGGGAAGCAAAGACAGAGGCCCCCAAAGATGGGACAGTGTGACGAAGGGAGCCAGGAGAGGGGCAGGCATGCCAGTGCACAGCTGCTCCTGCCTCAGTTTCCCCTGTGCCTGCGAGGCAGGCCCAGGCCAGCAGCGGAGAGGAAGCAAGCATGGAAAGCAGAAGTGGCTGGGGTGGCGGGCAGGAGGGGCCCGCGGTGGCCGGGATCGCTGGGACTTTCCAGGTTGAGGAGAAACAGGAAGTGACTCCCAGTCCTGGCGCTCCCACGGGGCTGGGCCAGGCTGGGGGCACCTGCTCCTCCTCACCTGCCCCGGACTGGAGCCTGCTGCTCCCCCACACTCCTTCCTCCCCTCCCTGCATCCACCTCCTTTCCATAGCTAGGCGGAGCAGGGAGGGAAACTGAGGCTCGGGGGGTAGTGCTTCAGTGTGGGAGGCTGAGGGCCTGAGAATCTCCTTATTGACAGCTTTTAGGTTTGGTTTGGTTTGGTTTGTTTTTTTAGTTTTCTGCTGTTGGAAATATTTAAGAGGGCTGGGGTAGGAGGAGGTGGTGTTCACTTGTCAACCCAGCTACTCTGGAGACACTGAGACGGGGTCATCTCAACTTTGAGGATAGTCTGGGCAGTTTAGCAAGACCCTTGTCAAAACAAAATAAAAAGAGGGCTGGGGATTTAGCTCGGTGGTGCCACTGACTGCCTTGAAAACACAAGGTTCCGAGTTCGATCCCCGGTATCGACAAATTAAAGAATAAATAAAAAGGACTGGGGTCGGATGAGCACTTGCCTAGCATACATGAGACCTCAAATTTGATCTTCAGAATTGCAAAAAGGTTGGGGTGGGCAGTAGCAGCTGTTTAGGTGCACATCTGAACGACCTAGCAGGTAGCTACTATTACTGTTCCTGTTTTCATTTTATAAATGAGGTGATGTAGTACAGAGAGATAAACTAACTCTCCTGAGGTCACGCAGCAATAAGCAAAGCTGTACCCAGAGCTCCAAAGCTGGGACCCTGCTCTCTCCAAGGCCAATTTGATTCCTTGGAGATCCCCAAATGTGACTAATTCCCTAGACATCCTGGGACTTGGCACATTCCTGCATGCTGAGCCAGCTTGACCTAGCCTGGCCCCGGCAAACCACCCCATTTCAGGCAGAACGACCCAAGACAGCTGCTCGCTTTGCAGTCAGACATGGCAAAGGCCAAGTCCAGTCCTTTTTCAGATTCATTGGTGACCTCTGGTCAGCCACAGAGCATTTCTGTGCCTCAGTTCCCTGCCCTGTAGACGGCGGGTGATACCAGTCCATGTCTCAGAGGGCTGCTGTGTGTGAGACTCTGCTCTAGTGCTTGGTTCAGAGGATCCCAGAGTTCTGGTGACTGTTTGGCTACTGGCTTCTCTAAAAATTTGTTTTCTTTTTCTTTTCTTTTCTTCCAGTGCTAGGGACATAACCCAGGGTCTCCCACATGCTAGGTAAGCACCCATCCCCATCCTTTTAAAATTTTTATTTCCAGGGTCTCACTAAGACAGAGTTTTACTAAGTTGCCTAGGTGACCTCAAACTTGAGATCCTCCTGCCTCAGCCTCCCAAGTAGCTGGGATGACAAGCATGGGCCTGTCTGGCAGTTCTCAAGAAACTTTGCATTAAGTCCCTGTGTTTTCATTTTGTTTGTTTGTTTTTTGGTATTTGGGATCGAACTTGGGAACTCGTGTTTGTGAAGCAGGTGGTGGAACCACTGAGCTAAATCTCTGGCCCCTCCGTGTTTTCATTTTTCATGGGGCCACATAGCTCCTGTGTGGGAGAAAATGAGAAAGAGTGATGGGACACCATCCCTCCATCCTTCCATCCTTCCATCCTTCCATCCTATCTACGGTTCTGGTCTTGAGTATAATTGAGTATAATCTGGTGCTTGATATAATTGCTTTTTTTTTTTTTTCTGATACCAAGGATTGAACTAGGGTCCTTGTGCTTGCAAAGCAGGTGGCAGAACCACTGAGCTAAATCCCGGTTTGATGTAACTGCGTTGCATTATCTTTGGAAGAGGGTTTCAGTGTAACATGCCTGGGCCCCTGCGTTGGATTAGCAGTGTCCCCCACCAAAGAAAATAAAGAGAAAGTAAAATAACTTCATAGGCAGGATTGCAACCCAAATAGCATCCTAAAGTGCAGCTTGCTCTGGATAAATTGTTTTTCCTCTTTGGGCCTCAGTTTTCCCATCTGCTCATTTGTCCTTTCAGGTTTGGTTACAGGAAACCCTTAGCCTAAATTCTCTTTGCCAATCCCATGTCAGATCGGGTCTTTTGAACAGTTTTTACTTTGCCTGGATTGTTGTTCCTGTTGCTGGCTATCTGGCAAACTCCTACTTGAAGTTCAAAACCCCAGCATCAGTATCCTTCCTACCATGCCACCATCCATATATGCTAGGCAGAGATGTCATGCTTCCCTGGGCTCTGGGCCTGTTGGTGGCTGTGGGAACATTTGGTCCTGGCTCTCTCCCTCAGGGCAGACCAGAGAACTGAACTCTGGGCCGCAGCTTTGCTCAGCCCAAGGTCTGCCAAAGAGCCAAATCTCCAAGTTCAGTGAACCAAAAAACAAAGCCATAGATAAGGAAACTCCAACTTTGAGGTTGGCGTGGGGTCAGGAGGTGCCTACTGATGGTGACTTGGGTCCAGGAAACTGTACAGTCATCTCTGACACCAGGGTGGAAAGAAGGTGCCATCTGGATCTGTCTGCACCAGTCTGCTCACCCCACTGGATCCAAGCAGCTCCAGTCTAGCCTTTAACTTGAGATCCTCCTGCCAGATTCTCCTGAGTACTGGATCACTGGTGTGCACCACCATGTTTGGAAATTCTTAATAATTTTTGTATGAAGGTCCCTGTGGTTTCTTGAAAGTTGTGATGCGGTCATGGCCAGGTCTCATCTCCTTCCTGGCATAGACACATCTTGACAGTGTTCATCCGGTGGCTGGAAGCCTCTGAGAAGAAGGGCGCAGGGGTCCTCACCATGCTCGAAAAGACCTCTTTCTCTTGGGGTAACATTTGGACCCCCAGCCTCAGGTCTGTATTTGGGTGAGATTGATGGGTGGTTAATAGAACTATCGGATGGGAGGCAGTGAAGGTACAGAAACATGGGAGACTAGGCTGCAAGGAGAGCTCAGCATGTGCAGAGGCCCGGAGGAGGCTGCGAAGGAGGAGCTGAGTTGCATAGCAAAGCAGGGTGGAATTCACGCTTGTGTTCCTGGGGAGGAAACTGAGGCTGGGGAGGCTGAGCCACATGGCAGGGTCTTCAGCACCGCACCGGTAGGGATCAGCGCGCCACGCCCACCTCACCCCCCAACAAAAGCCCCGCCCCGCGGCGTGACCGGAAATGCGCGGGCCCTCCAAGATGGCGCCCCAAACCCGGAAGTGAGCGGCGGCCGCCAAGAGGCTCGGAGAAACTGAGGCGTTGCGAGCTCCGCGTCTGGCCGCACCCGGCTCCGAGGTGAGGCGTCCGACTGCGACTTCCTCCATGGACCCAGATCCCCCGCTACCCCTGCACGGCCCATCGCGAGGGACCTGGTGCTCTCGCCGGGATT